CCTCTGTACATCTGTGTTTGTGCATTGTTTGCTTTGTTTTTCTACTGACAGTACACCTGTACTGAACTCAGAGAATACTATTTTAGGTGCTGTCAGCCACAGTGCAGCAGGCTTTGGACTGGAAGGAAAAGATTAGTCTTCAGCTCATTCAGTTCTTGCCACCAGTTCTCATGGTCGCACCTTATGGGATGTAAACCATTAATTATGAAAACTGGATTGAAATTTTTCACTTTTTCTCACATGTATTCACCGTAACTCCCAGTGGGCTGGCAATGGTGAACTACGTGTTCAAAGTTTCCAGCTCATTACTGTCAACCTGGAGTTTTATTCTTCAGAGCTTATTTTTTCTGGAAAGTTATTTCCAAGGAGATGATTGAAATCACATAGTTCCATTCATCACCAACACATCTTTGTATAGATAGCACAGCAGTCATTCCTTTCACTGTACTTTAGATACAAACACTTTAGGAATAAAAATCATAAAGTATCATAAAAAATCATTTTTATATCATACTTAGTTAAGAGAGATAAGTAAGCAGTTGAAGCTTGAATTTCTTCTGATAGGTCATTTTTTTCAAAAAATGAGATTAGTTCTCTTACAGTAATTAAGAAGTCTTTCACTGTTTGTTTACAGAACTGTATAACAGGGCTGTATGAAGGTTTGTGTCTGTTTTTTCGAAGACTTAAACTCATGAGTAGAACTTCCCTGTCTAAATGTGAAATCTGCATGTTAATCTTTCTAAAGGAAATTTCTAGAAATTTCAGGCATAATATAGGGTCCCATATTCCAGACTAAAAAGAAATAGAGTGTAACTCATAAGCAATGAAAAATGACAGGTTGTTTGTCTATGCAGCATGTGTAAAAGGCCTAGTAGAGTTTTCCAAAGTGAAGCTACAAATTTTGCAAGGCACTTAAACATAAATGAAAAAAAGTAGACCCTACAGTAGTGAAAAAATACACATGAATAGTGAAGAGATCCAGGATACTGGATTTAAAAGATAAAGAGATTAATCTAAATGCAATGAATCAGATAATCAGATTATCAATTTTTAAAACTGATAATATGAATAAGCTGTGGTTCAGTGGGTGAGGTCAGGTTGTTTGCAAAATGAGATTTTAAATCCTCTGCTACGAAAGCTATTTTAAGAATTTTTCTAATTCAGCAATCAAAATTAAATGTAATTATTATTTATAGTGACTTTTTATTAATACTTCTTGACATTATATATAAGTAGACAGGAAGAATGTCTTCAGAGTCTCCATTTCTTATTTTAAACTAATGCATGCCATCTTCTTTCCCTTTTTACAGAGCATAGTCTCTGAACTAACTCCTAAGTTTCAACTTAGCACTTAAGTATGTCATAAAAGTTTGTTTGGAAAATCTTTTTTTGTACATTACTGGTTTAAAATAATAATGTTTGAACATTAAAACAATAAATATCTGATCAGATGGAATCTATTTTGAGTTGTCGCAGCTACTCTGTTACAAAATGTAGCTAACATTAAACAATTGAAGCATAAATTAGATAAATTTTTCAGCATTTCTAAAATAGAAGATCTGAAATAAATTCTGATGGGTTACTACGGTTTATGTTGGAATAGTGTTTTATTTCTTTCTTGTATCTTTCCTAATGTCTACCTTTAATGTGAGGAAATTTTTATAAAATATTCCATTTAAAATAATTGTATTAAGAAAAAAATAATAAATTTTTGCTAGAAGTTTAAATAGGTGATAGTGGTGGTATAATTTTTGTTAACATTTTACTTTCTAAAGGCTTTTCTTCAAAGTATTCTTCCAATGTCTTATAATATATTTATCTTTAAACGCTTTCTAGTCTGCCAAAGCTCTGGGTTGTGATGTTGCAGTTTTAAAGAGACTATGACTCCATGAAAAGCAGATTTTTAAGGAACAGTTTTCTTTCACTGCATACAGATGTAGGTATGTAAGTCCAAGGCCTTCAAAAACATACTGTAGCTCTCTGTAAAGGGATCTCTGATGCCCTTGGAATATTAGCACGAATTTCATAGATGAGTGAATGTAACTGAATTCAGTTCAGCATTTCAGACATCAGTGTTCTATAGAATATTTTTTTAGTATAAATATTTTCATTTTTAGTTGTACTACATGATACTTACTTTTGAGTAGGTCTGAAACACTCTAGCTGGTATCTTCTGTAGTGTTCAAAAATGGCAGCCTTCCATTTCCTGGACAACCATTTTTGGTAGGGCAGTTTGGCTACTCAGGTAGCTATCTGCCTTGAACACTGTAGTCTAAATGATTCAAAGCATCATATTTCATTAAAACCCCCTTGCAGTAAATAATGCAGGTTCATAAATTTGCCATAGCATTCATCAGCCAAGAGAAAGCCACTGACCTGCAAAATTCTGGCCATGTTTCGCATTCCCTTTTATGGAGATCCTGGGGTTCCTGAGCTGTGCACCATGCTGAAGCATCATTTGTGTTCCAAAACTAAGACCTCTGTTGCAATCAACCGCTGATTACACACAAGTTAGAGTAGAACTATCTTCTAACAATTTTATCATCCTTAAAAACAAAGGACTTTGGTCACAGAAGTGTTTTCTTGGTATTTTAGAAGATATCTTGAAACCTAGAAAGCTTGCAGTGAGATTCATTGTGTTCATTTCAAAAGCTGAGTTGACTGAAATTGGTCTTGGTGATTTTTTGTTAAAATAAGACCTAAGTAAGTGTGTTTTATTTTTAAAGCTGCCTACCTCTGCAGCACCATGAAGTCATCATGCCAACCCTGCTGTTATGGGGAGAAAGAGATGCATTTATGGAAGTTGAGATGGCAGAAATTACACGGATTTATGTTAAAAATCATTTCAGATTAACTATTTTGTCTGAAGCCAGCCACTGGCTTCAGCAGGATCAGCCTGACATAGTGAACAAGTTGATATGGACCTTTCTAAAGGAAGAGACAACAAGAAAAAGAGAATGACTCTTTGTACATGTTTTAAGGGGTCTACACAAAAGCTCTTCAGATTTAAAAACTAATTGTTATCAGGGCCATATTTCCAGCCTGCCTTCTATTTTGAGCTCTGTTAGAGAAAAGTGTTTTCAATGTACTGTAAATTTGGACACCAATGTTACTGCTAAAAGAAGTGAGTATGAGAATATATGATACCAACGTTGGTTTTATCTGTATACTTGTATTTTGCACATAAGGACACCTGCCTTAAGATATATATGTCTTTGTACAGAAAGAAAATCATGGAAAGTTGCCTGGTTTTGTTTTCTCCCTTGCTTTACAGTTTTAATGTGTGGTGCCTTTTACAAATTTATAATGAAACAATAGAGTGGTGCCATACTGAAGGAAGTCATGTGTTTTCATTCTCAATTTGCCTGATTTTTTTTAATGTATTTTACCATTAAACGGTAACTAACTCTTTTTATTATCTATATTTTAGCATACTGAATGATTGAAAAATTTCTGGGCACATTTCTAGTCTTCAAGTGAATAATGATATGTATCTTGTTGTATTGTTGAATGCAGCTGCTTTGTGCGATGTGCTTTCTTTCTTGACTAAAAAATGGGAAACCTGTACACTCAACTTGTCTGAACAAGAAGAGTGGAAATTTAAGATATAACTTGTATCAAATCCACCTCTGTCTAATAAAATGCAACTTAAACTACTCCCTTTATCTGACTTCCTATGGAGAGATTTTTTACTGAGCCTAAGAACTGGATTTGAATAGCTAAAGTGTCTGTCCGCTGTCCAGCCTTCCTCATGCTATGATTGTTATAGTTTCTTGGAAATAATGCCTTGTTGTTGGCATTATTCTCCCTCTGTTAGCAACTGTTGTTCTTGTCTCTGAGAACTACTGCCAAGTTCCTGCATTTATAGGAGGAAGAGACACTGATTATGGAAGCAGAGGGTAGAATTAACTTGCATGTAATGGCAAGGGAGAAGAAAACTGGATGGTACCTACAAAGAAAAAAGAAGCACAAAACATGAGTCCCCAGAAGAGGTGAGTCACCTGCCTATTGTGTTCCCAAAGGCTCCCTCTCCACCTGCAGAGTGAGCACGGTACCCTGGGAGCAGGCGAGGATGAACAGGGACCCATTGGGGGAGGCACTGGAGCCAACTGAGCCAGAAACGACTGTCCACACCACAGTAGAAGAGAGATGACAGGTACTGGGGAGACCCAACAAGTCCCAAACCACCACACATGTCATCTCTTTACAGCCACAGTGCCCCACACAGGTACTTGGCGCAGCTCCTGCTGATGTCTTGCTTGGCATAATCCTTGCAAGAAAGTGGACTGAGGGGTGCTGTCAACTGCGTTATTAGCTTGTGGCTGGTGATGTGCTTCTTTTCATGCAGTTCGCAAAATCTGAGGAAGAGTCCTCTCAGTATGGTGTGATAATGGTATTGATCTCACCTTTTCCATCCATGGCTGGTACCTCCCTTTCAAGGATAATTTTCCCCTGAATCGTTTCAGCATTTATCAACTTAGATGATTACATATTCCTTTTATTTGAAGTAAAAAGTTGGAAGCGCTCTTCCTTGTCTCAGAAGGGTGTTGTAGAGCGATTTTTATCACCTCCGCAGCAGTTTAATTTCTTGGCAAGAAAGTCGGTGCGGGGGAGGACGGTTTTTTGTGGGGAGCACCCCGTCGCTCGGACCTGCTGGCCGGCAGCCCCGCCGCGGAGCGCTGCCCACCGGCGCCCCGGTTTGCGGGCTGTCGTTCCGGTTCTGTGTGCAGCAGGTGGGCAGGCAACGGGCAACAATCCCAAGCCCGACTCCCCTTTTAAAACAACCGGCCGGGGCAGTCACCGGTGCCGTGCGGTGGCGTTACTCTTCCCTGGGCAGGAGAGCGGCAGGGGAAGGCGGGCCGTTACGAGGGCCGGGGCGGGGGCGCGGCCGGCAGAGGGCTCCGGCCCGGCGGGAAGGCCCCTCCTGCCCGCCCCGCCCCCTCC